GCTCGCAGCTCGCCGGGTTGCGGTGTGGGGCCGCGGCTGCAGACACAGGGCCCTGGCCAACGCAGGAATCGGGGTGCGGGTCCCAGTCTGTGCTGCTTAGGAGTTGCCCCGGAAACGCTTCCCTGCACCTCGCCCCAGGATTTCTGCTCAGTCTTCATTGGCCGGGCGAGGGCCCTGGAGCTCCGCAGGGGAAACTGAGGGAAGACCTAACGGGTCGCTCCCCACACTCATAGAGCTGTTTCTGACGTCTGGGACAAAGCGAGGTGGGTGTGGGGTGCCTGGAAGTGGGACCTCCGAGCTCACCTCTCAACACATGAGGCAGCTGAGGCACAGCCGGGCTAAAGGGATTGCTGAAGGAGCGCCGCTGATGCTGCTGAAGCCAGGGCTCCCCAGCCTTCCCTGCCGCCGGCCTCCAAGGTTCATGGAGGGCTCCCCGGAAACGCCTTGAATAACAGTGCGGCCTTTTCTGGGACAAGTGACCTGCCTGAGGAATGATGGCCTTCAGCTTCCCCACAGGGGACCCCAGGCAGACTTGGTCACCCCGAAAGAGGATGCTCTTTTGGAAGGAAAGCCCACCTGTCCCCCTGGTTTCCTAGGTGGGGCTTCCTTTGACCCCAGCCCCACAAGAGTGGCCCTCAGGACAAGAGCTCTCAGCTTGGGCCGGGAGTTTAGCTCAGTGGTTCCGCCGCCTGCCTCACAAGGACCCGAGTTCGATCTCTGGTACCAAAAATAAAAAAGAGTTCTTAGCTGGAGTGAAGGGAAGGAGGCGCAGATGACTGTCAGAGGCGCCGGGAGAGTACAGGGACAGGCGGTCTCTGATGTGTGAGGGTGGGTGGAGGGTCTCGGAGCCTCTCTGTGCCTGGCCCCAGCTCCGTCCTGCGTGGCAGTACACCCTCAGCTCCAGTCCAGATGGCTATGGGGAGCTGCCTCTTGCCCTGTGAAGCCCCACACAGGTGTACTGGGTCCACACCTTTACTCTCACCTGTCCTGGTGTGAGGGAAGAGGGTCGTGTCCCCTGGAGGAAGAGCAGCTGGGCTGGGCACAGGTCCGTTGTCAGCTTGGGGCCTTGCAGCAGGCTGGAGAGTGGCCGGGATTTAGCTTGGGAATTAGGCTGCCTTTGTTGCCCGCAGCCGTGGAGCGGGGGACCCAGAGCTGGGGCGGGAGGAGCAGGGCGGCTGTGTCCCCTGCAGCAGCCTTGCAGTTGACAGGTCCGCTTCCCACAGGCACGACCCAGCCTGCTTCACAGGCCCAGATGGACCTCTCCCTGTGGGCTCTGAGGACTGTCCCTTCTGGAGGCCACAGTGAGGTTTCCAAAACTGCGTCAAGGGCCTTGGCTGGACGCCAGAGGCTGTGGCTTATTCCTGAGCAGAGTGTGCCAGAGGCCTCTCTCTACCTTTGCCTGGCGTTTGTGTTTTGTTGCAGTGCTGGGGATCACAGGGCCTTCACACTGAGCTATGTCCCCAGCCTTTCTTCATATTTTATTTTGAGGCAGTGTCTCACTAAGTTACTGAGTAGCCCAGGCCAGGCTGAAACTGGGGGTCTTCCCACTTCAGCCTCCCAGAGCACTGGGGTGACACGCGCACCACTGCACTTGGCTGCTGTACAGTTTTGCACTGTGGTTGCACAGGTGGCCCTGCAGCCCCTGCTTGTCAGTGACAGGTGGAGGTGGCCGGCTCATCCCAGTTTGCTGGGGACTTTCAGGTGTAAGATGCTCTTGAGTCCCATGCCAGCTCTACCGCTGGACTAAAATTGCCGAAAGTCTTGCCTTTAAAAACCAGGACAACAGAATTGGAGGTGCTAAGCTAGGAGAGCGAAGCCTTCTGAGCGCAGGACCCCTGTCGCCTGTGCCGACGTCCCCTCTGCAGGGCCCTCTGCCCACCGTCACCCTTGGGCCAGCATGGTCAGGCAGTGGCATGTGGGGTTCTCTGCTCCCCACACCCCTGCTGCTGTCCTCCCTGTGTCCTTGTCCCCTCTGCCTATGTGACCCTGCCTGGGTGGGCGTCCCCCACCTCGTCCCACAGTGTCTGCTGTGGCCCCAGCCGGGCCCGGCTCCCGTGTGCTCTGGAGGCCCTGCATTCACGCCTCTTCTGAGAAGCCGGACGTCCTTTGTGCCAGCAGGAAGAGCCCGCTCTGCCATCCCGGCCCCCAGAGGACTGTGACCGCTGCTTCCACGTCACAGCTCTGCCCCTGCCTGACCTGCTCCTCCCTCGTCCTTTGTTCTGCTGGGCCTGCGGGAAAATTGGAGTTGTGCTCCCATCTCAGGGTCTGCCCTGGGACCCCTCCCCGCCCAGTGGCGTTTGCCGTGTAACAAGGAGTTGGGCAAGCATGTGGCGTCTGTGGAGCCGTGACCCAGCTGGTCACACCACTCAGACCTACGGCTGCCCTCCCCTGCTCGAGTGCCCACTAGAAAGCTGCACTTTGCGTTAGAAAGCGTAAAAGGTACATCCACGTATACTGGGAAGGTTTCCGAGTTTCATTAGGTTAAAAAACCAAAAGCAGCAAAGTGCCCAGTGCTACATGTGCGCCGGGATCCCATTGGCTTATACCAGAGCTGCGCGCGCGCGCGTGTGTGTGTGTGTGTGTGTGTGTGTGTGCTGTGCTTGCGCGTGCGCAAAGATAGGCGAGAAACCTGGCATCCAGAGGGGAGCGAGAGGCAGAGCCACTGATGGGGTGGGCATCAGGGCCCGGAGAAGGCGGGTGAGGGACCTCTCAACTTCAGGGATGCCTAACCTGGCACTTGCCGGAGGACAGCTGGGTGCAGAAAGAGAGCGGAAAGACCAGGTTAGCAGTGGGAGTGCTGTGCAGATTCCCGGCTCCTGCGCAGCTCCAGGCAGATGGAGGGCTGCAGGCTGCAGGCAGGCCAGCACGTGTCACCTTCACCGTGAGAAGCCGTGTACTGTTCTGCCGGTCTAAATAGATCCTGGATGTTTACCTCAAAGGCATTCCTGCCAGCGCCTCGGCCCAGTCTGATTTTGTAGTGAGGGAAACACAGGCTGTAGCACCCTTCTTCATCAGCACAGCCAAGCTGCTGGTGCCTTTCTGGGGAGATGGCACCTGCGTCCCTCCTGCAGCACGTGGTCAGACGGCAGATGGCCCGGCCCTCACTCCCACGCTGTGCCCCTGCCCTGGTCCGACATCCGCGAGCCTCTGAGGACGCGGTGTGGGGTGGGAGCTGCAGGGCCGCCCTGCCTCTCAGCCGTCCCACTTCTGAGCGGGGGCTGGGGTAGGCCGTCGTGTTCTCCCAGGGCCGGCGAGCCCCTGGCTGGCTGGCGTGGGGCCGCGGTGCCACAGGAAGAGGTTTGGAGGCGTCTTGGTAACGTGCTGCGACTCCAGCCTCATGCCTGGCCGAGCACTCCGCGCCTGCTGCCTCACGCGCTGGCCTCTAAGGCTTAGGGAATGTTCCTAGCACGCTCTTCCACAGGGGATCGATTTTAGGCATGGAGACTCCATTCTCTGCACGGGGCTGGAACCCAGGCCCTGCACGAGCAAAACAAGCATTCCACCCCCGAGCCACCTCCCTAGCCTTTTTACTTAATGTTACTTTGAGACAGGGCCTTGCTGAGTTGCCCAGGCTGGCTTTGAACTTTCAACCCACCTGCCTTAGCCTCAGAAGGAAAAAGGGGAGCCTGTCTGCCCCAAACCCAGCTCCTACAGATAACATGCAGAACACATTTAGCTGGTGTCTGTTATTTTAAATTATTTTAATTCCTTCATTGAATGGTTGCAAGCTCTGGCGGAGAGAAACAGCACAGAGTGGGTGGGGAGCCAGTCTGCACGTGGGAAGGAGAACATGGGAGAAGGAACTAACAGCTGCACGTGTGCGTTCGGGTGATGTGAGCGGAGCCCTGGAGATACCTGGATGCTGACCTGGGAGAGGCGAAGAAAGTGTCCACCATGTATCAGATGCATGAGTGCGCTCCCGGAGGGCTGCACTGCACACCTGTGTCAGGGCCGGTGAAGTGCAGTGAGTGCATCTCTTTCAGCCTCGCTCAGTGGGCTTTGTGAAGTGTGTGCCTGTGAAACGGGATGCAGCACTTTGCAGGATAGCCAGTGTGTCTTTCCTGTTGTTTTTCTTTCTGCAGTGCTGGGGAAGGAACACAGGGCCACTCACAAGCTCGCTCCATGGGGGCTCTACCACTGAGCTACATCCCCAGGCCCCTTAATTTTATTTTTGAGACAGGGTCTTGCTAAGTTGCCCAAACTGGCCTTGAACTTAAGACCCTCCTGCCTCAGCCTCCTGAGTAGCTGAGATTACGGGGTGTGCCACCGCGCCTGGCTAACACATTTTTACAGCTTGGGTTTTCAGTCTTTTGCACACCTCTGTTCTTTCATCAGAATGAAGTGGGTACCTAAAAGAACCAAGATTTCTTGTGATGTCCTGATCGCAGGATGGGCCAGGAAGGAGGAACAGGGGTTGGGACAGGAAGAGCTGGGTGACGGACCATTGGGAGGTGGAAGGGGCGGGCGATGGGCTTCTAGGACAGCAGCATCGGGGAGACGACAGCTGTGGCCATCAGCCATGAGCACAGTGAGAGCAGTGAGTCCCTGCGGAAACAGGAGAGAGCAGAGGCCTCCTTGGTTAGAGAGGAGCGAGGCTCGGAGCTGCCACCCCTGTCCCCGACTGGCCCGGCAGGAGCCCCTGGTGGGCGTCACAGTGTCACGCACCTCTGTGTTCCCGCTCTCAGAGCGCCCCGCCTCGGTGCCACTCCTGGCCCGGGACCCAAGGGTGAGGCAGCGGAGCTAGCTGGGGTCACTGTTCTGCGGTCCTTTGAGAGAGCGCTGCGTGGTGGAGGTGGGGGAAGCGCTCCCCGAGTGTGGCCGTGGGCGCAGGGTTCCCTGGGCGGGAGGCGGCCAGCGCTGTCCCCTGGTCCACGTGCTCGCCTGGGCTGAGGGTCCCCAGGAGGGGGAGCGTGGAGTCGCCCCATTCCTGCCCCAGGGGGGCCGTCCCCTCCACGGATCCTGGTCTGGGCATGGCCTCCTGTGAACTCCTCCGTCCAGTTCCTCGCTGCTGCCTAAGCTCAGAGTGGCTCTCAGGACAGGACGGGGCCGCCCGGCACACCCCGCTGCAGGCGGTACCGTGGGTGAATCACATGTGGTCTCTGCATCCCTCGGTATTTGTGTATGGTTGAAAATACGGCAGATATCTCGATGTTTTAAACTCGGTGAAACACACGTGGCCATGAGTCCCCTCTCCCCGCTTCAGCCGCACTTAATCTCTCTCGCCGCTTGCGGAAGCACTTCTGGAAATTTTGCTTTGCGTCTCTTCATTGTGCAGTCCTGGCTGCCTTGGTGTCCTGAACGGGTTCAAAACGATCCCCTCTCGTGGTCGTCGTGACTTGGGGCACAGCGAGAGTTGCACAATGCCGGACTGAGTGAGTCCAGTGGACGAGGACGCAGCCCACGTGTGTATGAGCTGCCTTTTCTTGGATGGCCCTGGGCAGCGGCAGGCACTGTATTTTTATCACACCTCGTAAATGTCCCCCCGGGAAAGAGGGCTTCGGAGCTGCTTCGTAAAGTGACAAGGGACGGTGGGAAGAGGGTGCTCAAAGTGGGGTGAGGAGAATTCGTGGCAGCTCGTCCTTGGTGTAGATTTTTAAAAAGTAAACATTCACCATATCCTCGATCACATGCTGTGTACAGAAGGGAGTGCTTGGAAAGCACGGTGTCCTGAGCAAACCCAAGGGGCAAGCCCTCAGCTCCGTGTGGCCGAGGCCTGACCGAAACAGCTGGGCCTCCTGTGCCTGCCCTGAGCGCGGGGCTGATGGACGCTGTCTCCCAGTGCACCAGGTGGCGGAGCGGGTGGAGGCCCTGGGCCAGTTCATCATGAAGACCAGGCGGACCCTCAAGGGCCACGGAAACAAGGTGCTGTGCATGGACTGGTGCCGGGACAAGCGGCGGATCGTGAGCTCCTCCCAGGTACGCAGTCAGGCAGAGGCTCCTCTGAGGGACGCGGCAAGGAATTCTCTCGCGCCTCGCTGGTTTGGGGCTTTGAGACCAGGAGGGGTTGGGACGGTGTCGACCACTTTGATTTTTGTGAGCTGTGCCAGATCATTTCTTCCTGGGTGAATCCAAGGCCTCATTTGTGAGAGAGCCGTTTTTAAAGTTTCTGCACAAATGGAGGACGTAAGATTCCACCCGTGGCACTCTGTCAGCTCGGGTATTTCCAAGCTTACGGCTTAGAGGACAGATTTAAGTGAGTGTTTAGAAAGTGCCTGCTCGCTAGCACTCACCCAGCTCACGGCTTGGGCAGAGCAAGCTGCCCCGCAGCCCCGAACTCTAGCAGCCCACGGCCGCGTTTTCACATCGCTTTTGTGTGCATGTGTGGTACATAAAGTGCAAACCGGGCTCCCAGGAGGCGTCGGTGAGCCAGATTCTTGGCATCAGCCCAGGTCTCTCACTGTTCTTGTCTCCCACCCAGCTCTTCAGAGAGGATTTATCTTTTCTTAACCTGTGTAAAGCTGTGCATGTTCTAGATTCCACCCACAGTCCATCTCTGTCCCTGTCAAGTTGGACAAGGTAGTTATTATCAGCCTCCTGTGTCACCTAAGGTCACACATGGGGCTTGCTTTTTATTATTTATTATTATTATTATTTTGTGTGGTGCTGGGGATTGAACCCAGGGCCCCAGCACTGAGCTACATCCCATCCCTTTTTCATTTTGAGACATGTGCCCTGCTCAGTCACTAAGTTGTCCAGGCTGATCTTAAACTGGTGATCTTCCTGCCTCAGCCTCCCAGGTGGGATTACAGGCGTGCCCACCCCACCTAACCCACCCATAATAAATTTACCACTCCAGTGTGTTAAAGAAACACTAGAAAATAAAACATTTTTACTCCTGCTGCCCCATTCCACTTTGGAACATTTTTTTCTAATCTGTCTTTTTCCAAAGCTTGTTTTTATAGAGTGGTTGGCAAGCAGAACACTCTGGCTAGCTGGGGTGAGGAAGGCACCCGCACCCTGCTAGGGGCTGGGAGAAGAAGGATGTGGGGGTGAGGGCCCCAGGGGGACTCAGACGACCTTGAGTCAGCCTTGCCACCCCCCACATAGAAGGCGGAACCAGGCCACAGGCGAGGGTGGGACCACAAGCCTGCAGCGTGCAGGCTAGCGCTTGTCCTGTGAGGGGACAGGGCGAGTGGCAGCAGGCGCGGGAGGCTGTGGTGTAAGGGGCACGAGTCGGTGCTGAGCCTGGGAGCCTGTGCTGGCCATGGCCAGGGCCTGGAGTCCTGAAAGGTCCCCGCCTGCATCAGGTCCTCGCCACACCCCATGTGGGTCTAGGGAGCCCAGCTGCAGCATCCCCACCCGGGAAACTGGCCTGTGGGACCGGGCTTGCGGGTCTCGTGTCACCCCCAGCACCCAGCATGGGCGCCGCCAGCAATAGGACGACGGTGTGGGTGGGGAGGGCAGGCCCTGCCCAGGGCCCTCAGGCCCAGCTCGTCCCATAGAGGACACGAGGCCTGGCCTGGCTGAGCCCTGCTCTCTCCTCGCACAGGACGGGAAGGTGATCGTGTGGGATTCCTTCACCACCAACAAGGTGAGTGCCCGGGAAGCCCGCTCAGGAGTATGCTGTACGGTGCTCTAGAGCCCGCGCCGATTTGGAAGGCTCTTCCGTGGGTGCTCTGAGCCCGGGGCCTGCTTGGACCTGGAGGGGCGGGCCGCCCCGCAATGCCAGCGCCTACTGCAGCCTGCACCCCAGGCAAGGCTGAAGCAGCGGGGTCTGGCAGCCGGTGGGGGGGACACAGACGCGGAGGAGGCCAGCGGGCAGAGTGCCCCCCAGGCACCAGGCATGTCCCTTTCCTGCGGGGGCCCTGGGGTCGGAGCAGGCCCCTGAGGAGGTGGCACCGCCAGGAAGGAGCCCCTGGGTGTCGGGGAGGAGGGGAGTCGAGCCGGCGTGGCAGGCAGCCCAAGGGACAGAGATTTAGCTGGAGCTGCGACCCTGCCTCCCCGTCCTCACCGCCCTGTGTTGCAGGAGCACGCCGTGACCATGCCCTGCACTTGGGTGATGGCCTGCGCCTACGCCCCGTCCGGATGCGCCATCGCCTGTGGGTAAGTGGCCGGGCCCTGCTCCTCCCGGGGTGCGTCACGGTGTGCTAAACCCTGTCCTGGACGGTCTGAGACAGGAAGCCCCAGAGCACCCCGAGTGTCCTCAGTGCAGACTAGCGGGTGCAGGTCAGACCTGTCCCCTGCGCTGTCAGGGCTGTGTGGGACACAGATCAGCACACACTGGGAGGCAGGCTCTGGAGTGTCTCCAAACCCTGGAGCATTTTCTCACTTCGACCCCGTGACTCCATGTGTAGGAGCTGGTGTCAGAGGACTGACCCAAAATGTACAAAAGCCATGCAAATGACATTTACTGTAGCACTTTTTTAAAAAAGGAAAGAAGTATATTCATGAAAAGGAAATTGTTGATGAACTGTGCTGTGTGAATCAAATGGAATATTACACAGACGTGAAAAGGGAAACTCTTAATTACAGCGAAAGGAAAGAACATCAAGGTTAGTAAGAAGGTGCCCCGTCTCTCCTGCTGGAGTTCGGTTTCACGGGATTGGCACCTGAAACATGCAGAATTCCCTGACCTGTGCTACACAGTTCGGGGACCATGCCCGGTATTTCTCCTGGGGTCTCAGCCATTCAGTGTAGTAAAATGAAGACGTGGGCTGCAGGTGACCTGTAGCCAGGGCCGCAGTGGTTGGGATGACGGACTCTGCAGCACTTCCCTTTGTAAGCGTTTCTACTTTTCATTTTTTAATGAAAGTATACAGTTATTTATTTATCTCCATACATTATTTTTTAAATCAGAAGAAAAAAGATTTTATTTTAAAAAAAGGAGAGCCTGGGCCCCAAGCAGAAGTTTCAGCACCTCTCCAGCCAGGCCACCCGGCCATCTTCCCAGGTCCACTCCTGTGGCTGTGCCGGGGGCCTTGCACTTGTGCCGTCTCGTGCGTGTCCGTGGCGTTTTCTAGCTTCTCAGTACTCAGGTGTCTCCTCCACGCACTGCCAGGGGCGTGTTTCTGCCAGGCACCTCCCACCTGCTTCCCCAAGGGACGCGAGTGGCTGCAGAGGAGACACGCATGTTACACGTGTGCATCCTGTGTGCAGCAGTTCACTCCGGGCGAGGAGGCAACCCTGCTCTCGTCCTGAGGGCCAGGTCCTGCAGGGTGGAGGTGGTCGCTGTGTTTGGGGAGCAGAGGGTGGAAATCAGAACCAGCTGCAGGGAGAGGTGGCAGGGCGGGGTCCACAGGCATCGCAGGTTGGAACACCTGGCCAACCTCCTGGCGACCAGGCCAATACCTCCAGTGTCCACTTCCTCTGGCATGTCGTGGAGCCCCGGCAGTTTCCCACTGTTGGACTCACTGTCCAGCAGCAGGGTCCTTCAGAAGCACCGGGGACACTCGGGCCCAGGGTCCCCTCCCGGCAGCAGAGGCCCAAACCATCTCAAGTGAGGCCAGGTACCAGCTGGCACAGTGACAGAGGCCTGTGATCCCAGCACTTAGGAGGCTGAGGCAGCAGGGTCACCAGGAGTTCGAGACCAGCCTGGGCTACATAGCAAGACCCTGTCTCAAAACAACAAAGAGATAAAGAGAAACACCAGGCCCTGGGCTCCGAATCATAGGGGCTGAGCCGCACCTTCTGCAGGTTGGGAAAGTGGTGCTGTGCTTGTTCCCACCCTGACCTTCCCTCAGTGGACCAGCGGAGAGTCCACAAGGGCAGGGGCAGCAGGGAAGAGGACCCACGAGGGCTCAGTGCCTCCTGGTGGCAGCTAGCGTGGGGGCTGCTGTCCTCCCAGAGGCCCTTCCGAGTCCCTGGCCCTCACTGGTGGAGGAGGGCAGCTCCTGTGCTGGCCATCTCGGAGGTGTGACAAGAACCAAAGCAGAGGAAGTGCATGTTTGTGACAGCATTTTTTAAAATGCAAGGGAGAGGCCACACATGGTGGTGCACGCCTGCGATTGCAACATCTGGGACGCTGAGGCAGGAGAGTCTCTTAGAGTTCAAGGTCTGCCTGGAATACATAGCAAGATCTTGTTTTGACAAACCGAAAATGAAATACAAAGGAGGATGAGGAAAGCAAAGGAACCAGACAGAAACCCTAACTGCTGTAGGTAAAAGCATCCCCTTCTCCCAGACCTTTCCCTGGAGCTAAGAGCTGCTCTGGCTGGCTTCCTGGTGGGGAGTGGGACACAGCGCCACTGCTCTGTGACCCCGGCTCCACCCCACAGTCAGACACGGGTGCTCAGGGGCATCGTGTCACAGGCGTGCACGACACATGCGTGGCCGTCGGGCGTGGACTCCATGCAGACACAGAAACCTGCCGCTGGGTCCCCGGCTTTCGGCCTGTCCTCGACTGCGAAGAAACATGACAAGTCCTGTGACAGCCTGGGAAACTGAGCTGAGGTCTCCTGCCATGTGTGGTGGGTGCAGAGATCGTGAAGTAAACACTGAGCACGAGGTGTGGCTGACCTGGGCCCTGAGAACAGCAGGGGCACCGAACAGGTGGCCGGTTGACGGCACTGCGTGGGGCTTGGCGAATTTTCTCAGATGTGATAAAGATGATGGTTCGAGATTCCCTTCCACAAGTGTGACAAAGTGTCTGTGAATCCAAGTGAAGGGATTTGGATATTCAGGATTATTTTTCAGTTGTGCTATAGGCTTGGAAATGTTCAGTGGTGCCTGCCTATAGTCCCAGCACTCAGGAGGCTGAGGCAGGAGGATCGCTGCAGGTTTGAGGCCAGCCTGGTCTACATAGTGAGACCCTGTCTCAAAACAGTACAAGTCAGAGCCGGGAGAGAGTTTATGGTCCGGGGACTGCTAAAGACCGTGCAGGGAGAGAAAGGGCCTGCGCCTCCCGCTGCCCTGACCTGTGGCCCCTGTCCCCAGGGGCCTGGATAACAAGTGCTCCGTGTACCCACTGACCTTCGACAAGAACGAGAACATGGCGGCCAGGAAGAAGTCGGTGGCCATGCACACCAACTACCTGTCAGCCTGCAGCTTCACCAACTCCGACATGCAGGTGCGCTGCTCCTCTCCCTGGCCCTCACCTGCGCAGCAGGGCACCCAGGTCCCGTTGGCCAAGCTCCTGTCTCCCCAGCGGGGTACCTCAGGCGGGAGCTGGGCACCTGGCTGGCGTGGGGCTCCATGTCCCACCCTGCAGTGGAAGCCGGGGGCATCTGCCCTGGGCTGTGGCACTGGTCTGTGGGCTCAGATGCTGCCCCTTGAGCTGGGGCCACTCACCGGATCTGACGACGCCAGCGTCCCCTCCACCACGGACGAGCATGTGGCAGCCGGAGGGACACCTGTCCCCCCAGCCACTCAGGAGGCTGAGGCAGGAGGACCACAAGATAGAGCCTGAGCAACCTAGCAAGACCTTGTCTCAGTATTTTTTAAAGGAACTGGGGCTGTAGCTTGGTGGTAAAGTGCTTGCTCAGTCTGCATGAGACCCTGGGTTCAAAACCCAGTGCCCCCTTCCCAGAAAGAAAACAAAGCAAAAAGACAAGAAAGCGAGCCATGAAGCAGAGGGAGGCTGTTCACAGATGTCCCTGGTGCCTCCTGTCCGGGAGCCCGCTGCAGACAGCTGGGGTCCTGCCGCTCCCCGCACCCCTGGGCACCGGCCGTCCCCGACCGTCCCGTATCCCCCAGCAGATCCTGACGGCCAGTGGCGACGGGACGTGCGCGCTGTGGGACGTGGAGAGTGGGCAGCTGCTGCAGAGCTTCCACGGGCACGGGGCCGACGTGCTGTGCCTGCACCTGGCGCCCTCGGAGACCGGGAACACCTTTGTGTCCGGGGTAACGGCTGGGCCGGGTCCTGGGCCTCCCCCTGGGAGGGGTGGGGAGTCCGAGCTTCCCCACCGCGCCCCTGCCACTGGGTCCGCAGGGGGACCCCCGTCTTCGGTCCAGACGCTGTGACTAGGGGAGCCCGTTAGGGGAGCCGGCTCGGGGCGCCACTGAGTGCACCGACCCTAAATGCCGGGAGTCCTTCCTCCGGCTTCGTGATAGGGCTCAGGAAAACAGATGCATCCAGCAGAAAGGCGGCTCGTGAAGACACGGCGCTGTCCTTGTCCGCCTTGTCACTGGGTCTCTTCTTCACAACCAAAACGAGCGTGAAGGGGAACGTTTTGAGTTAATTCAGGACATCGAGGCAGCCAGGACACTCGGGAAAGAGGACTCCAGAGATGAGTGTTCATAGCAAGGGGAGGATTTACGGCTGTGTGTCCTAGTTTAAATGTTCACCGCAGTTTTCTGGCACACCTCGTACCTGACGTCCCTCGGATAGCGCTTGCATCTGACAGGAGGTGTGGTGCGAGGGCAGCTGCCCTGGCAGCCCAGGCGAGGTGCTGAGATGTGTGGGGCTCGTGCGGAAGGTGCCCCGCCCTGCTCCTGCCTGCCAGGGGACGGGGACGGTGTGCACGGAGGAGGAGGAGCTGGCTGCCTGCCCCAGCTCTGAGTTTCACGTCTGTGGATCCGGCTGCCCAGTGCTCGGCCTGTCCCTGGTCATCACTGCAGTGGTGGAGGGGCTGACAGTGAGGACACAGGACAGGGCTGCTCACTCGAGGTCGCCCACAGGGACCCGCCCCTTCGTGGGTGCATGGGTGTCCCACACCTGGCGCTCCGCGTCATGTGCAGCATGATAGACAGAGGGAGACTCCGAGCCCCCGAGGGTTCCAAGACCCCGCGGCCAGTGAGGGGCCGTGCACCTGGACCCCGTCCAGGGCCCCGCTGGCTGCAGCCCCCAGGCTCGGGGCACGTGAGGCCACAGGCAGGAGGCAGTGCCCGTGACATGCAGGCCTCGCGTCCACAGGGCTGTGACAAGAAGGCCATCGTGTGGGACATGCGCTCCGGCCAGTGCGTGCAGGCCTTCGAGACCCACGGGTCGGACATCAACAGCGTGCGGTCAGTGGGGTGGCAGGGGGAGGTTTCGCCTCGGGGCCAGGCAGGCCGTCCTCGGGCAGCTTCTGCGGAGGTCCTGACCCCCCTCCCACCGCAGGTACTACCCCAGCGGGGACGCCTTCGCCTCGGGCTCCGATGACGCCACGGTGAGTCCCGCCCCGCACCTACCCGGCACAAGGGGCACTGCGGCATTTTGTTTCTAGAAAATGACTCTTCCAGTTGCGGGAGTGGTGTCTACTCCGTGAACAACTCAGGGGCCAGAGAAGTGACCATAGGAAGGTCACACGAGGATGGGCTCCTTTTCCTCCTCGAACAGAATGCCTCATAATTTGCCTTTCTCTGCGTAGAAAAGTCTGTGAATGTTTTCTCATGCTGATATTTTTCTATATTTTCTTAATGGTTCAGTAGTGGACACTTAATACAAATGAATGGGATAAGCAACTGAGACCTAAAATTTGACCTTTGATTTTAAATATTTAATTTGTTCCTACCAGACTGCTCAACAAAAAAAATCACTGGTGTTTAAAAAACTGAGTCTGTAGTAGTCCAAGTTGTAGACAGGTCATCGGTTACTCAGCTGGTCTTCAATTTTTAGACAGTTAGCTATTCTCAGAGGTGCGAACTCTCAGAGCTTAGAATTTACTAAGCCAAAGTAGACCTAGATTTAAGTCTTTTAGCACTACTTGCAAGTTGCTTTTTTTAAAGGGAAAAATATTTTTTATTTTCCTCAAAAAATGTTGTCAAATATCACCTGGGTGTGGGACATATTTCTGTAGTCCCAGGCACTTAGGAGGCTGAGGCAGGAAGATCCCTTGGCCCCAAAAGTTGGAGGCCTGTAAGACCCTGTCCCACCTGGTACTTAGCAGGACCCATCTCAAAATGAGAAGGGGGTAGGACTGTGGAAGGCTCTGGGTTCCCGTCTCCGGTGTCGTAAAAGCAAAATGATATCGTTAAGAGGAGCTTCCATGTTGCTGTCCTGCTCTGGAAGGAATTACAAGGGAATAGACTCGAGTTTCGATAATGAAAATACTCAAAATTGTATGTCAAAAGCAAATATAAGGACACATATTTTGGGAAAAATTCTTTCTATGTATGTGGTAGACCAAGTGAAAATCCTTTGACAGGAAGGGGTGGCCTCGTCAGTAAAGTGAGCACCACCTCACGCACACGTGCACACGGCACCAGTGCAGACACCTGAAAGCCGCAAAGCTGGACCTGCTTTAAAGCTCTGCAAAAGTTTGCAACGTGACCTCGGGTCATTTTGCCCGTGGGCCCAGCAGGTGCTGTGGGGAGGGGCTGGGATCCCCTTTCCAGGGAGCTCAGCAGGGGCACCCCGAGCTCTGAGACGGCTCTGAGGCTGCCGTCGCGGAGAACTGGAGCCATGCGCGGCTGTCCACGCAGCAGGCAGCAGGCAGCGTGGACCCCTGAGCAGGGTCGGCCGTGGTCACGTGAGGGGCGTCCGCGTCATGGCCA